AGTGAAAGGGGAACAAGCCTACATTTTGTGAGCTTGGAAGTAAAAAATAAACACAGCCAGGCATGGGAGCACAGACAAACAAAACAATGTTATCATCCAATGAGGTGCTCAGTGATAGGAAGGAGCAGACTTGCAAAAAGACACCGGAGAAAGGGCTAAAGGCATGAGAGTGAAATCCACGTACTGGCAAGAGCCAAGACTCTTGCTAGTAATGAGAAGTGGTGGAGAGAGGAGCTGCAGAGAACAGAGATGGGCAACAGGATTGCAGAAAAAAAATACAGATGTATCTGCAGTGGCAAGGCTAAAACAAAGTGCCACCCATTTAAGTGTCAGTTCAGAAAGGATGTAGCTGTACTTAAATTCCAGAGGACAAGGCCGAAAGCACACAGCCTTTCAAATCAAGAAAAGAATTAAAACCTCACTTATTGAAGAGTCACAGTGAACTTAGAGGTAATGAAGATGGGTGAGCAGCAAGGAGGGCCACAGACAGAAAGGCTTACTTTTTGAAGGGTTCCAAAATGAGCATACAACGGGTTATGGTTTGTTGGCCAATACTCGTTTTAAAAAAAAGCAATATTCTGCTACATTGCCTCAGACGGGGGAATCCGAAACCAAGTGAGTAGGTTGCCAGCAAGGAATGATGAACCAGAGCATTTTCAGCCATGATTACAGTAACGATTACACTTAAAGGACAAGGAAAGATGTTGTACGAGAGCTGAGGGGCAGGGGGGTGCCGCTCATGTGCAAATCTCAGCGTACAGGAGCTCATTCCGTCAGTGGAATATTTAATGCCAGAGGTCGCTGTGAAGATTTGGGAGGAAGAGGAGCTGTTTTCTTTGAGGTGGCCTCATTGCTCCCCCATATTTTTCTTTTTTTTCTTAAAAAATATTATTTTAGGAATTGATGAACCGTTACATATCAAGAGGAGGAAAGTAATAAAACCAGGCTTTATACACAGTCCATGGAAAAGCGCGTACATTCGACAACACAGGATTGATACGAACTGGCGGCGAGGAGAACTTAAATCGCCTAAGGTAAGTTCCTGAGCTCTGTGCATGGGGCCATGAACAAAGCAGGATCAACTCTTACGTTGTTTTTTTGTTTTCTTTGCACAAGGCAGACTATCCATGCACAAAAAGCAATGTATTGTTGCAGAAAAAAATAGTAATTGTATTTTAGCCTGCCCTAGGTTTATGGTTAGCACCACAGTAACAAATCAAAAGGTGATTCTTCATACAACAGAATTCTTTCACTGCTGTTCTAAAAATTTCTGCCCAGTTTTAGGAATTCCTGTAATTGTGCTAGTCTCTTTGAGACAGAGCATCTCAGAAACTTGATTGGAAGTAGTTCCATTTAAAATTGAACATACGTATTTATACAGATTATATATGTGTATGTTTATATATATGTATTATGTATGGCCATACCAGCGCCATGTTGCAACATGAAAATACTCCCCAGATACTCTGTGATCTTTCATGCTTTATTTTTATACATATTCTTCTAAATGAAGCAGGACAAGACAGTAACTTCATTCCGTGTTAAGATCTAACAAAAAATATCAAAATTATTTAATGACATAGATATGCTATCATTACATTATTTTCCAATCTGAACATACAAAAGCGATACTTCAAACCTTTTCCAAAATAAAAATAGCAAGGGTCTAAGCAAACCTGGTAGGGAACAATCAGGCAGAAGCATGAGGAAAACCCTTATTAGTAGCTTTTTACGATTTTAAGGCAATTTGTCTGCTTTCTTGATTATCATACAACAAATGACTAAAAATAAGAACAAAAAAAATCCCATGGCAAACGTATGGCTATATCCTGCTGTTTATTTGGCTATGACTTAGGTCTGGCTCCATCTTTCTTGCCTTGATACGCCACATCAAGTTATCTTGGAATTATTATTACAATTACAGCCTCAGGCATTATCCAAATGCTCATTTCATTTCGATGAGCATGTTGAAAAGTGGTCAGATTTCTTAAATAAAAAAATCCTCATCCTATGCATTCTGATAAGGACTTTTTTTGCTGTATTGCAGTAAAATACACTGAATTGCAGTTTTTCCCCCAAATGAAGCACTGAAGATCCCACGTCTATAAAGCAACATTACAATCCACATTTCCAGCATTAAATAATAGCTTTTGTTTGTATTTAATTGATGGTTTTGTAGTTCTTTACTTTGGTGCTGTCTGGCATTTAATAGTTTACAATGCTTGGCTGGGAAGGAAAAAAAAATAGGTATAGTCAGCCTTGACCACCGAGATACCAATATGCAGCAAGTAATACGACCCCATCCTTTTTGCTCAAGATTGAAATAATTCAGCTAAACAATAAAGAGATGGAATAACTCCAGAGGAATCGAGCAATGTCCAGCTACTACCCCTCAGTCTACTTCTATTAGCGATTTTTCTGGTACTTTTAGGCACCTTACAGTAACAGTGGTGTGCTCACTGAGCAATGCAGGATCACTCCCTGGAAGAAGGAAAAATACCTTCTTTGGTCCCAGCTGGCGGTAAATTAGACTTGACACGCGGGATTAAGGGGCCTTGTTGTTATTGAAGCAACCCTAGCATTTTCTAATTTATGAATCAGAAGAGCACTTTGTTTCTCCTGCTTCTCTCTAATCTCCTGCGTTAAATTTGTGACCATACCTTTTAATTTTATTTTTTTTTTAACATGCTTTGTCATCAGGTGCTCAAAGGCCACGACGACCACGTGATCACCTGCCTTCAGTTCTGTGGGAACCGAATCGTGAGCGGCTCCGATGACAACACGCTCAAAGTGTGGTCAGCAGTGACAGGCAAGGTAAGGCGGTGGTTTTGCTGAATTTGGTAGGAAATGAGCTACAGGTAAAGCATTGGTGTGTCCAAAATGCTGCTGCTGTGCCACCAGACCCTGGTGCAGGGTGGTCTTGGTGCCATCTGATGCAAGAGTAAAGAAGGACTGGTAAACATGTGGGTCAGCGTTTCCTACGCAGAAACTAGTCTAGTTCGAAAAAGTCACCTTGGTGTGAAATTGCAATGCTGCTCGTGTTACCATTGGCTGTATCCTTGTTCTCTTGGCAATTCTGCTATTCTTGTGGAGTCGTTTGTGACGTGGATTCTAAAGAATTTGGACAGATACGTTACTTTATCTTCCTTAAAGCCTAATTTAGCCTGCTTTTTACCCCTCTGGATCTCCCTTTCTCACTTGTCTGCTAGAGTTCTTTCTGTTTTTTTCAGGTTATTGAAATGAGGTGATTTCAAATACAGAGCTTGTTTTTCTTTCTAAGCTACTATATTGCTGAGCCACCACCACCCAAAAAAAAAACAACCCGTAACTTGCTTTAGGTTTAAATATTTCCTATTAAATTAGATCCAGCTCAGGCAGGAATTTAATAAGCTTCAATAATTTAATTTTGGCTTAGAGAAGGAAAAGAATATGTGCAATCAACAAGACAGTACTGAACATTTCACTCATGTTAGAACATCACAGCTACTCAGCACACAGAGTTTTTGTTTAAAGGTGACTGACCATGCTCTGAGGATACAGAAAAGGTCTCAAGGAAACAGTATTTCTTCCTTCTAGTCTAGTATTGTGTGTGCTTGGCTTTGTTTTAATGATATAGTTAGGTGAACAGCAGGACAGCTATTGAGGATAACGTGTTTAAGATGTAAAAGGTATCCACTTTGTAATGTTGAAGCTGAATGGATTAAGTGTTTGTCTTTGCACGCCTAGAAGATCCTTGACAGGATCATAAATACTAGTGTGGGGAAGAGTAAAATTAAAAGCAATAGGCAGCCTCACCCTGCCTAGTGTTGGCTTCCCTACAACAAACTGTCTAATGAAGAACCTCATATTGAAATTTACATTTTTTAATTGAAAAGGGCAGCCTAAACTTAAATGAGAAACACTTTCCTTGTACATACCACCCTCTCAAAAGCAAAATGTGCCTTTAAATATATGAAATGGATCCTAGTAGTATGAGTTAACAATTCCTGTTTAGTAATTTTTTTGAACATAATTACAAATCCTAGTGTGACTATTTACCCCAAACCTTTAAGGGAGCCAGAAATTATACATGAAAGATGGAAGAGCGCTGTATGAGCCCTCATGCTTACTGATGCTGAAGAATTAATAAAGTAAAAAAACCCTAAAGGTTGGTTTGTGCAAATGAACATGACTAAATAATTCCCTTGACAGCTGTAAAGCCCAAAATAAGGATTCTGTGTTCTTACTGCTTTAGAAGGATGATTTCTTAAAATATGAGCAAATGGGTTGAAATAAATTAAAAAAAAAAAAGGAACTGTAAAAGTGAATAGCAGCTATGAACTGAAAAAGATGGGTTTGATAACAGTGAGTTAAGCTAGGAACTAGGAATTGAGGAAGACTGGTGAAAAATGTTAAAGAACAGGAAATCTACAGCAAAAAGCAAGGCATTTGCAAGGATATTAGAAAGAACAGGATATTAACAGCAGAAATTAGTATACTATCACTGATGCAGAAAAGAATTTATTTTGAGAGAAAATCCATGTGATGGAAATGCAGCATGCAATGATAATAGAACATTTCAGAAGAACCTCACAAGGATGTTAGACAACACCTACTGATGTTGTGGATCTGGATAATCTGAATTTGATGATTGTATTTTTTTTCCTAACCTGTGCACTAAAATTGGTGGTTTTTCAAAAGGTATGAGCCCAAGGAGAAGATCCAAAGGATGGCCAGAAAGCTAAAATTCGTCATTATTTAAAAGGAGCAAACTCAATGACTGGGTATTTAGGATACGTTCTCTCAGATACAAAAATTGTTGGACTACATCAGGAGGAGTCAACTAACAGTTAAAGGAAGGCCACGGCAATTAATGCCACTTAGCATTAGATTACAGAAAAAGAGATCATCACACTGTCTTGACCTCTTTTCTCCAGCAGTTACCGGTTTGACTGATAAAAATAATAGTGCAGAAATAGCTGGCTCTGTGCACTGCTAGACTCTATCCCCATGACACGACCGAAGAAAATGGAGCAATGCAAAAACCAACATGGCACATATTTAAATGGGTTAGAAAGTGGGTAATTATAGAGATCATGTTGTTAATGTAAATGCAGAATCTTCACGGCGTGTCTTTCTAGAGGGGTCTTGCAAGAATCTCTTCTTCTCATCTGTGCTAATTAGCACTTAGTGCTGCCTGGTGAGACAGCAGATCGTGTCGTTACTTGGGAGGAACGCGGGCCGAGAGACAGGGACAAGTCATTGTTCCAGAGTCGATGGAGGTTTTATACAAGTGGGTGTGAGCAAACACTGGCGCTACGTGGTGAGAAACCATGATGCCATACGTTTGGCATCAGGGAAGGTGGGCTGTGCTTGTGTGCTGTGGGATTTTCCTGGGCAACACTAAAGTCTGGAAAAGGTCTGAAATAGGATTTTGTGCTAGCGATGCTGTAGCTACGGCTTACGGAACACAATGTCTCTTGTATAAAAAAAACAGAAAAATGCAATAAGAGTACATGGTTTATAGATTGGTGGTAAAACTACCAAGTGAATGCTCTCTCCAGTTGTAACATGCTTCAAAAAGCTATTGGAAAACCTGCAGTGACTCAGAAAAATGCCAGGAAAATGACTCAAGGCTGCAAGACATGCCCTGTATTGAGAAATCTGGAAGGATGGTTCAGTTTATCAAGGGGAAGATTATAGGGACAATTTCTTACAGACAAAGCACTGACAGCAGAGAGAGAAATTTGATGACTGTTTCCTAAAAGGTGGGATGTTTTTATTTTCAAACACAAAGCAGTCTCCAGGGCTCTTCTGGCTCTTGATATGAGAGACTACCATCACCTCCTAGACTACATTTTTTTCTTAATTTTCCATTCAACTGTGTCAAAAAAAGGAGTAACTAACTAAGGAAAACATTTCTTTTCAGTGCTTGAGGACACTGGTTGGGCACACAGGCGGAGTCTGGTCATCACAGATGAGGGACAATATCATTATCAGTGGATCTACAGACCGAACACTGAAAGTCTGGAACGCCGAGACCGGAGAATGCATACACACCTTATACGGCCACACCTCCACCGTGCGCTGCATGCATCTCCACGAGAAAAGGTAAGGCTTCGCCCAAAGCTGTGGCCACAACTCAGTTTGCAATTCTCACTCATGTTCACAAAAAACGCTCATTAAGCTTTTGGTACGTCGTCCACCGTGGAATGAAATACAAACCAGGTGAAACATTCACACTACAGCTACAGAAATCAACAAGGGAGGAGATGATTAATAGAAGCCAAAGTGTTAGAGTACCAATTAAACAACAGAAGATTAAGTAATGTGCTTTATATAAAGTCACCTTCTACGTTAATTCAAAACTAATTCTTTGTTACGCTGTGATCCAGTCTCCCACAGTCTGACTAATTTCTCCTTTCTGTCAGTGCCACAGACTTTCACTCATTTCACAGGATGACCTTTTAAGTGTTGTCACTGCAGTATTTTATTTAAATTTTATCTGATTATATCATAATTTCTGCATTAGTAAACTACATCTTGATCCAACAAACATTGGCAAAGCTCTTTTATTTGGCTGCGGTACGGAGTTGTTGACAGAGTGCCTGTTGGTTGCATTTCTGTTTTGAAGAATGACGAGGCTTTCTTCTTTATCAATTTCATCAGTATCGATTCCTTCTTATTTCTGTTCTTGGCTGGAAAAAGCTTTTAAAAGTATAAACTGGAAAAAAATCAAGCAGAGTAACTGTTAAAGTAAAACTTCTAAATACCTTCTTTAAGTTATAATGAGTTAAGTCAGTCATTAAAACAGAATCCTAGTAGCAGTGGCTGGAGCTTGGCACATTTGTAAACTTTGATACATGGATATACAACAGTCCACGTAATTTCTCAGGGCGTCGTGCCATTGAGGAATGAAGCGCCTTTTCAAATACCAATTGCTAATTATATAAATAGACAGATCCTGAGGAGCTGAGTAGATCAAGGAAGAAAAACACTGAGGTCGTTTGCGACCCTACTAAAGCGTCCTGCCAAACCAGATCTTTGGTGGCTCGCGGGCTAATGCTATCTAACGTCCCAAATCAAAACTCCTAACTGATATATTTGTATGCAGTTCTGATTGTTTCAGTACTTTTTATGTCCGATGCTAAGTATGGGAGGCGTTTTCTTGTTTCTCCAGAGTGGTCAGTGGGTCACGAGATGCTACACTGAGAGTCTGGGACATAGAGACGGGCCAGTGTTTACACGTTCTGATGGGCCACGTAGCTGCAGTTCGGTGCGTTCAGTATGATGGCAGAAGGGTTGTAAGTGGTGCATATGATTTTATGGTCAAAGTGTGGGATCCAGAGACAGAGACCTGTCTGCACACACTGCAAGGGCATACTAACAGAGTCTACTCATTACAGGTATGTGATTTTCATCTGCTGCTTTAGTTTCCTTTAGTAACATTTAAAGTCCATTTATTTCACCTTGTTTATTAAATTGTGGAAGAACACAGGTGCCTCTGTGATAGTCCCCTCTTCCATTTTGTTACACTAGTTATATGTTGTCTTAATTTAGAAAATGAGATGTATTTATCTTTTTTAGAAGAGCATCTTTTTTTAAAGCGCCCAGTACAATAAAGCCCAAATTGCTATAGCAGCAAGTTAAGTAGTTTTGAGGGTGCTGGGTTGTTCAGTTGGGATCTTTTTTTTGAAATCTTGCATGCATTTTGGAGCTATGTTTTTGCTTTCCCCAAAGAAATTCTAAACAAATCAGATGATACAGTAATTGAAAATGTGCCAAAAAAAACCCCATTGCGTTAATGTTCTGAATTACACAGATCCGTTCATCCTTGTTTTGTAGTCCCATCTTCTAGTTTCAAACTGTGATTCACAGTAAGGCTGAACCTAAAATTTTAACATTGCAATGTAAATCTCTAGTCTTCTTCTTCTTCCTTAATGAGAGGCCAGATCTACAACTGTGAGGCTTTGTCAGGAGAGACTTGTTCCTGTAATGGCAGGTTATGGTGGTTCTGCTCCGTGGCTCCATTGCCTGCCCGTCACCCAGCCTGTTCATCGGAACTAAGCTGGCAAAGAGACACGTAGACTTCACACAGACTCTTGTTACCTTTACTAACCCAAAAAGATCATCTTGTTCATTCATAGAGTCAAAGCATCACTTCCCGGCACTGAAAGGCAAAAGAAATTAATTTCATGCTTGTGCCTGTTCTCACCACAATCTGGCAGGACTTGAAAAAGAAATTAACAAAGACAGTTCAAAATTGGGAAATTGCATTCAGCATGTAACCGCTCTGGTTTGTGGCTCAGAAATTCGAGCCCAGTGCTAGAGACATTTTTCATAAAGTGCATGTTGGTATAATAGATTAAGTATGAACAAAATACCTAATTGGTTTCTTTCCCAAACTCTGTAGTAAAATCTATCAAAAATCTCTAGTCCTTCTCTTAGATTCACAAACTAAGGAGGATTTTCTAGACAAGCAGCAAGCAAGTTAAAAATACTGTCCTACCTACCTGTCTCTTAAAAATATTCCAAAGGCTGTATTTCACGCAGGACAGTGTGGGAACACTCTATGTCCTCCTGCCTTCTCTTCACCAATGGCTCTTGGTTTTGCTTATGAATATTCATGTTTTGCTTCAATACTGTAGTAATAATGGATCAAATAATTGGGTTATGTTACACAGCAGTACTGCTTCCACCTTGTAAATCGAGCTTGGCATTCTGAAACAAGTTTCTGGGGGCAGGAGGCTACAGTTGCTTACAATTTTAGGCCAGAAAGATTCTTTAAAATTGCACAGTGACCTCCTGCCCTTTGAGGCCTGAAATAGCCCCAAATGTCAGAACTCCCATAAAGAGAATAATCAGGCTGAATGACGAGCCTGTCCCCCTCATCCCTGCTCGAAAGCAGGTTCTGTTATACCTCAGTATTTCCTCATTTGTAGAACCCTTCGCACTTCCCAGAGATCCTTACGCTGCAGTTGAAGACTACTGACCGTGCTGTGTTTTCCTGTTCTTTCTTAGCTGCCTTTGAAGTCATCCGCAGATTCTCAGGGTTCCTGGACAACAGCTCAACTACAGCTCCAAAACATTGTCCGACTGACTGTAGCGATAGCAGAGTAAAGTTTGTCTTGATGCACAGCCTTCTCTTTCTGAATACCTGACGTACATGGAATACAAATATTTGTAGGAAAGGGAGAAATACTTCAAAATTTGTTAAATCAGTCTAGTTTAGTTCTGTTTAGGAAAGGAAAATGTTCTGTAGTATTTCCACCCAGCAAGTCTGCACTCTTTATCCTTTTATCTGAACTCAGATCCTCTTTTGAAAGGAGGGTGCCCAAAAACAGGATGCAAAATTCCAGTCAAAGTCTTACCTTACTAGAGAAGTTATTTTATATGTCTTATATTTCATACCCCTGTTTCAGATATCAGAGTGTCTATTTTTTTTAGTATATTTTCATCAGAAATGCACTGTGTACAGCAGATGAGCAGTCTGTGTGCCAGTCACTCTCTGCGTTCCTCGGAACCTAGGTGCCATGCTCAACCGTAGAGATGGAACTGCTCAACTATAGAGATGGAAGATGTTAGCTTTCTGCAGGTTTTATAAAAAGAAGCCATCTCAGGTAGTCAAGTTCCCTAATTGTGTTCATTCTTTGCCATTACTAGATACCAGTCAGTCCCCGTGGGCAAGTGGTGTCAGATTGCCCCAGCTGTAAAAACGACTCCTGCCCAGCCTTCGGTTTCTCCCAGGCTGCAGCAGTACCTTCCTTCATTCCCTGCCAAGCTCAGATCGCCACAATTTTCTCTTGACTTTTACACTCTTTGCTTTGGGTCAGTTCTACCATTTCAAATGTCACCCAAACCTTAATGAAAGTACTTAAATGCCAGGCGCCCCCCGGAACTTTTTTCTGATATCTCTAATAAGGCTGCGAACAAAGTTCTGAACAGGATAGTATCCTTACCTCAGATTTGTCTCCCTCTTTGTGAAAAGATAACCAAGACATCTGCTGCGTCATGTGGTTTTTTACTCTCACAGGGGGGAAAAAAAACAAACAAACAAAAAAAAACAGTTAAGATCATTTTCCCACAAATGTGTGTTTGCTGCTACTTACTGCACTGCTCAGGGCTTACAACTAGATTGATTATTCGTTATTTCCTGCTGTAAATTGAAGTTAGACTGACCAATCCATAATTCCCTGTCTCCCATCATCACCTCCACATTAGAGAAAGGAATTGTATTTGCCATCTGAAACTTGTCTGTCTTCCGTGGGTTCTCAAAGATAGCAGCAGATGTCTCCGAGATTGTCTTAGAACAACTCTCCTTATGTGAGTTTTTTTTTCCTCATTGCATCAAAAGCGTGTACTCAGTTGTCAATGGTGTTAGTACTGTGAGCCTACACTCAGATGGCTGAAGCGAAAAGAAGCTCAATAGCTGGCCTCCTTTGGTGTTTCCTTCCCACTGAGCATAAATGAGCTTTTTTTTATTTTGGCCTTCCTCCTGTTTGGTTTTGTTTGTTTGTTTGTTTGTTTTTACAGACTAGTGTTTTATCATCCTTAACGGCCCTTGCTGGTTTTATCTTGGTTTGTGTCCTGCCTTTCTGATTTTGTCCCAGTGTGCTCTTTCCAACACATCTATTGATCTAGTTTCTGCTTTTCATGGAATTCCTTGTGCTTTAGCCAAGTGAGTCTTGGTAATTTACTACACTTCCTATCTTTCCTTCACACAAGGATGGTTTGTGTCTTTAGGGAAGTGCCAGCTCTCCTGAACTCTTCTTCCCCTCAGAGACTAGATATATAAAAACCTCATGGGAAGGACGTCTCAATTTATTGAAGTAATCCTCCTTGAAGCTCACTGGTTTTACTCTGCTGGTCTTTAGCCTTCCTTTTTTTGAGAATTCTGGACTCTTATGTCATCATCGCTATCACTCAAAATTATTCTGTCCATGTTCAGTCCTCTTGATCTCACCTCCTAGATGATTTCTCAGCTAATAAAACATGTTCATGTTCTAAATATTTTTGGTTTATATATAATATATGCCCAGAAAAACCCAAGAATTCGGAGCTCCACATTAGCCTGTATGCCTTTCCTTGCAATGGCTAGTAAGTTTAAGTTCCTTAGTGCAGACGATTACAATTCTAAAATGGCTAAACTCAGCATTTTTCAATTACATTTTCCTGTGTTTTGGCTTTTGTGTAGATGATTCTGGATTAATGTTGTTACCCTTCTCCCGCTTAAAGTCCTTCTGACTTGTGAAAAGCAGGTTTGGCTTGTTTATGTCTTTGTGAGGAAAACTGCATTCTCTTACTGTTGCACGCTGCAGTCAGGATTCTATTGTGTTTGAGGGACTTGTATTACATTTTAAAGGTTCAGAGTCTTTCTCCTCAAACCACCTGCTTCACAGCCCACATCTAAAGCAGGAAGTTGCACTGGCCATGAATCACCTGCTCTGTTACCAAACGTGGCCCCCTCTGCCTGGACTGAATTCTTAACTTTGCAATGCAGTTTCCAAATACATAGAGTTTCTAATGTTGCACTTAGTGAATTAAATGCTTAATAGCCTTCTTCGTAAGATCCTCCTGTAATTGTTCAAAATAGATGTACCTTTCTTGTAGTTTGATGGCATCCATGTGGTGAGTGGATCTCTTGACACTTCCATCCGAGTTTGGGATGTGGAGACGGGCAACTGCATTCACACGCTAACAGGCCACCAGTCTCTCACAAGTGGAATGGAACTCAAGGACAATATACTCGTGTCTGGGAATGCCGATTCTACAGTCAAAATCTGGGACATTAAAACAGGACAATGTTTACAGACATTGCAAGGTGAGCTTAACCTACCTTCATGAAAATCAAGCTGCCTGCAGTAATCTATGCTGCCGATTCTGTATAAAACCCCCCACTTTATTACATAGAAAGAAACAAGCATGGACCACTTGCAACTTAAATATTTTTCTGATGACAGCTGCATGATCTTTCTCTGAATTAGAAGAACAAAATGTATTTAATCTAATTTACTCAAATCACTTGGCTATTATGAAAGGCAGATGGTCCGGACTGATAGCAATTTGCTACGGGTGTATTAGCCTAATAAGCCACAGAAATATGTAGGAAATGACATCTCAAAACAGTCACTCAGTGTATTTATTTAGGGGTCACTTGGATGTTTCAAAGCCTACTGATTAATTGGATTGGGAGGCAAAGTTGCACTGTCCGTTGCAATAAATCAAGAGAAATGAGTGGAAGACGTTTTCTTTACTTCAGTAAGAAGAAAGACTTTTGCCACTCAGGCATCATGCACACGTTTGTTTTATTTCTCCCCACAAAAAAAGGTCTCGTATCATTCCCATATTACCATATGCAGCATCCCTGGCTGGAGTAGAAAATTGTTTCCCCGTAAAGCAGACTCTGCTGTTACCAGTATATATTTATACGTCAATATATAACTGTCAATATTTACTGACAGACTGATCTCATACTAACACTTCAAAGGGACTTGGAGACAAAGGCTTACCGTGGTCACCTCATGCCAGATGGTTGGGTTCATTCTCATGAACGTCCAAGCGCACACTTGCCCTACCTACTGCTTGTGTCCAACAAAATGAAGGAAAAGTTGGGGGATTTTTCTGTACCTGCATTCGCTTTTTGAAAGCACAGCGAGGCTTCTGTACACTTTGCTGTGTGAAAACTGAGTAAACGCATCTAATATCTAGAAACAGCTGTATGCAAATAGCTGGGTGCTGTCTGACTTTGCTTTCTAATTGCAAATAAAAATGTTTTGGTTTACTGTTACAGGTCCCAACAAGCATCAGAGTGCTGTGACCTGTTTACAGTTCAACAAGAACTTTGTAATTACCAGCTCAGATGATGGGACTGTAAAACTTTGGGACTTGAAAACGGGTGAATTTATCCGAAATCTAGTCACATTGGAGAGCGGAGGAAGCGGAGGTGTTGTGTGGCGGATCAGAGCTTCTAACACAAAGCTAGTGTGTGCGGTTGGGAGCCGCAACGGGACTGAGGAAACAAAGCTGCTGGTGTTGGACTTTGACGTGGATATGAAGTGAAGGGCAGAAAGATGAATTTGTCCAAATGCGTAGACGATGTTCTCCCTTTCCCTCCCCCCGAAAAAAAAGAAAAAGAAAAAAAAAGAAAAAGGAAAAAAAATCCCTTGTCCTTGGTGGTGCAGGATGTTGGCTTGGGGCAACAGATCCTAAAGACCTACAGACTACGAAGGAGAAGACAAAGATGACAAACTATAACTGACAAGAGAGGCATTCGCTGTCTCGTCACATAAAAAGGCTACACTTTTGACCGGGGCAGCTTTGCAAAAATACGACTTTTGAAATGAAACCAGGTGCAATTATTTCTTTACTTGCCTCCAACTGCTCCTTGAGCGATTTGGAGGTGGGGAAAAAAAAAAAACAACCCCCAAAAAAATTGTTACAGTTCTTGTTAACAGGTTATTTTACCACAAAGATCTTGACAGAAGCTGCGCAGGCGAGCCTGCTCACGCACCCCCTAGGCCACCCCAGGTCCTGGCAGCCCCTCCGAGCAATGAGCTGTCCCTTCACCCTACTCTGAGCGGGGGTGGGGGTTGGACCAGACAGAGACCCCTTCCAACCTCTATGAGCAGTCACTGGTTGACTTTCAAAACCTAGAGAGCATCTGCAATGAAAGGAAAAGAAAAACAACAAAAACAAAGAGTCCATTCCTGGTGTGGAAAAGCTAAAATATTACTGTGAATTGTTTTGTACAGTTTTATCGGAGCTTTTTCTTTTTTTTTTCTATTCTTCTTTTTTTTTTTTTTTTGCCAACCATTGCCAATGTCAATCACAGTATTAGCCTCTGTTTAATCTATTTACTGTTGCTTCCATCTACACTCTTCAATGCATAAGTTGCTCTGAGGTGGCAAGTTGTCCTGGGTTTTGAGAGTCCTCTGATGGATTTAATTCGCAATGCTGGTGCTAGAAGTAGGTCTTCAATTACGGGATTGTTGTCCCACCCCTGTACTGTATTCCCAGTGGCCAAACTTATTTATGCTGCTAAATGAAAGAAAGAAAAGCAAATTATTTTTTTTTATTTTTTTTTCTGCTGTGACGTTTTAGTCCCAGACTGAATTCCAAATTTGCTCTAGTTTGGTTACAGAAAAAGACTTTTTGCCACTGAAACTTGAGCCAACTGTGCCTCTAAGAGGCTGAGAGTGGAAGAGTTTCAGACAATTAAGAGTGAAGTTTGCCTGCAAATAAAGAATTGAGTGTGTGTGCAAAGCTTATTTTCTTTTTTCTGGGCAAAAATTAAAACACATTCCTTAGAACAAAGCTATTGCAGCCTGTTCTGTGGGGAAATTTTTCTTTGTGAGGGCTGTGGTGAATGGAATGAACATACATTAAAAAAAACTGACAAAATTTTTAAAAAACATAAAATACAAAAAATTAAAATAAAAGTTGCTGGTCAGTCTTAGTGTTTTACAGTATTTGAGAAAAAAAAACTGTTACAGTTATTGCTGGGAGGAACTGACAGAGCAAAAACTTAAGTTTTTGTAAAGAAGTCACATGCAAACAAAATGAGAAATGAAAGAGTCAAATGGTTTGCCTCATTCTCCAAGAGCCACAACTCAAGCTGAACTGTGAAAGTGGTTTAACACTGTATCCTAGGCGATCTTTTTTCCTCCTTTTTTTTTTTGTTTTTTGTTTTATTTATAGTCTGATTTAAAACAATCAGATTCCAGTTGGTTAATTTTAGTTATGTAACAACCTGACATGATGGAGGAAAACAACCTTTAAAGGGATTGTGTCTATGGTTTGATTCACTTAGAAATTTTATTTTCTTATAACTTAAGTGCAATAAAATGTGTTTTTTCATGTTAGTATGTCTTTTTTTTTTTTTTTGTCCCCTCCATTCTTGTAGTTAATTTAACACCATATATCCTACGAAGGGTAAAGCAGGTCAAGTTGCTCAGCTTACTGGTAGATGCTAAAATACGTAGCAGGACTTTTTATGTAACCCTTCTGCAAACAGGTGCGCGAGTGTCCTCTCCTTCAGTTGCTGTACAGGACCTGTCACGTGGGCTTCGATAAACGTGCGGGAAAGCCATTTGCTTCCCATAGCTAAGAATGTGTCAGGATTTGACTCTGGAGGGAGTCAGCTATAAAAAGCTGCTCAAGTACGTAAAACTTCTTCTGATAGCATCTCGTTACTGCACCTTAAATGGAAAGTTGATGGTTATTATTTATGTATTTCAATCAATTGATTGCAGCCTGACAGCAAAGAATAAATCCATAAATACAACTAAAATCAAAGTTAGGATTGTAGGACGGCTTGAAATAAAGCTTCTGAAGAAGGGAAAAAAAAACCACAACCAAACAAAAAAACCAACACATCATTCCGGATCAATCCAAAACAGTTTTATCAGTGCCCTGAAACCAAGGTAAGTCATCAGCTGTGTCAGAAACTTACTACTTCAGTGTCAGTTTTTCTCTCAAATCTCCTTGACCAAAATCATTGTTTTCTTCTGTGTAAGATTCTTCTGTCAGGGCATAGCATTTACTTGTTTGTGACAGTTTTTTCCTGTGGACACCTGCTGTAAAGAAAACCAAACCAAAAGATCAGAGGAGAAAAAGAAAAATATTTATATACTTAAACATCTATGACTATGCACTGTTCAAATGTAGTTCCAATCCCTACGTTATGCAAACCAAGCAATGCTGAAGGATCACGCTTCCATCTGGCCTCTGGAGATTAAGAAGCCATACAAAATGACTGAGCAGCTGCAAATTGTAAAAATCTGTTCATTGAGTTGATGTTTTAAGTGAAAGAAAAAAGAAAAAATCACAGCAAGCCCTGATATATAAAAGCTCTGATCGTCTCGGTATTTATGTAAAAACAATTACAAGAGCTAATCCTCTCCTAAAAATGACAGCAAAAGATTGGCAGGACTTCACGTTGTTCTGCTGCGAAGCAGGCCTCTCAGCCCCCCCCCCGATGACAGAAGGTATGTCAGTCTGGGCTCAACTACTTGAGAGAGGGGATGGAAGTAGAAGGGTAAAAAAAAACATGAATATTTAATGCAGGGAACAGAGGAATAGCTTTTAAGATTATGTAATTTTCCTCCATGATTTGTAGAAATTGCAACAACATGTTTTTCAAAGGCACCGGCCTGACAGCGCAGGAGAATGAGAGATTTCCGAGTAACATTGCGCTGGAGGGCAGGAATACAAATTGGTGCAGTGACAGAAGAGGAAAACTTAACAAATCCAGATCAGTTCAAGCTGTGTTTATGTACACTTCAAGCAATAGATATGACCAGGAGCAAAATATGCTTAACCAGAATTGAGAAGTTTTCCAGCTGATAGTGTTGGAACTACACCATCTTATGTTCAAATTAATGCAGAATAACTTGAACCTGTTAAAAAAAAAAAACACCCACATTTATAGCTTCCTTTAACCTAGATTTACGTAAAAAAAATAATTTATTGGCTGAAAAGTCAAGATAAGCTAGACTTGTCACATTAAATACAAAAACCAACATACTACTTAAAAAATTACTTTTTGAAACAACTTCTCCCCTACCAACAAAACAACTTTAGAAAGAAGTTAATTGCGTTAGCAAAGACTTCTTCTATTCAGTGAAAAGTCTTTAGGTTTGTAGGAGTCCATGTTGCTCATAAAACAGCTGAAAAAACATAGTTCAATAAGCAGAGATTCGTTCATTTAGGTGACCACATTTTAAAAATGGTCCTGTAGTAAGCACAGCAAGAAACTGTTCTAGCAGGTTTCTTTACAGTCTCTTTATTATCCCATTTATGTCTGATGCACTCACTGTAACATAATTCGCTCACTATCAAGTCTTCAGTTTGGCAGCACATGCTCCAACCGAGACTGTTTAGGAAACATCTTCATTTCATGTAATTAGATTTTTATTTCAAGGTGGGTGGAGTGGGTTTTTTCAAATAAAAACATGTAAGAATACTAGTAAAAGACTATAACTGCTTTATGCTCTCAACACACAGGCACTTCTTGAATCCTAGTGGCTTAGTCATTGTAGGCTGTGTCAAAATATCTGCGCCTATCCTAGAGAGATAATTGCACTACTGTTTCTGGCATCTTACCCTCCTGGTTTAATGCTGATTTGCTTTTTTTTTTTTTCTTTCAGTTTTAGCCCCAGGAAGAGCTTCCTCGCTTTCTCCTGTATCCAAAGCCAAGTCAACAACATTAAAAGTGGCTGTTTGAGTTTTTTTCAGTAGGCATTATTCTTAGGCAGACCTTGACTTTAGCTAACAGTAAGTCAGAACTAGTACTGTCACTTCCTCCAGGAGCCTATTCCTATGGTCTTAATTTACTAAATCAAGAGATAAGACCAGACGTTTAACAGTTGTGTCTACAGCAATTTGTAGCTCAGATCAGCAGCTCTCCCAACGGAGCCCAGCGCTGCCTTGGAGCCCACAAACAGGTTTCCTTCAGGGTGTGCCTAAATCTGGAGCAGCTCTCCAGGAGCACACCCCAGGCAGTCGAGCCACCAGTGGAGCACGTGGGACCAAACCAGAGCTCGTCCAACAGTGCAAAAACACATTCACGTGGGCATTAGGTCCTCAGGACCAGCGAACTGGCGTTGCAGCTCTGCTCCTCCTGCACTGCATTAGTTGCTGGGGCGGGCATAATCTTCCCACAGCAGCCCGGCTCCTGTTATCTTACTGGCAACCGGCTCCCATGCAAACAGCAGCAGCATGAAAACAGAACTTGCCTGATACCGCTATAGATTTTTTTTTTTGCCAGAGAAAAAAGTTTGAATGCCTTCAGGTCTTTCAATCATGCTTAGGGAGAGGTTCTTCTGATCAGTTTATGGATTCCAGTTCAAAAGAAATACAAATCTCTCACTATCGGTCTGCCCAAAGTTTTCTACCAGCAAGTCAACACCTGAGTCATTCAGAAAAAGGAATCGTGAAATTCTATAGTTAGATAGGCAAAAAACCAACAGATTATAACAGTAAATAAGAAAAACCTGCCAGTAATGTTTAGTATTTTACGATGCTCTGTGATGTTTCTGATTATACGTGAAGTATGTGATCTATATGATAGACACTAGGTTTTTCAAACTTCATCTGCAAATGACATACACAATTTTTCAAACGCCTCTTCAAGCATAAGTGCAGATTTATAAATAAGACAGATGTTTTAAGATAAGAGCTGGTTTGGATCCCTTCTGACAAATTAGGTGTCACCAAAAGGGCAGCAGCCAGGACAGGTTCCTGCTCCCTGTTTCAGGTTGCCAAACAGCCCGGCAGCTGTTGCGCTGCTCCGGAGAAAAGAGTGCGCTGTGCTACCACGAGTGTGCACTGACTCCTGTAAAATCATAACTAAGCTAGGATGGAATCTTCCCACCTACTAGAGATGGCAGAAATCATGAATCACA